TACCACAATAAGTGGTAAGTGTGGTAACTCTGGCCACTAATATTTTGTTAAATATATTTGTGGCATCTATTTCAATGTTCTTTTACAGAACAGTATCTCATTCAATTCACAACATAATTTTACAATAAATCCTAAACTAACTCTAGTTTAGGATTTAGCTGCGGGCAGCCCTAGACTTGGGGATCCGGCGATAAATATTTAGGCATATATGTTGGATATACCCATGAGAGTTTGGAAACTGAGATGAATAGACTGTTGGGTCAATGTCGGAAGAGATTAAATGTTTAGATGTGGCTTAAACTAACTCTAGTTTAGGCCACATCAGTCCCTGCAGCCTGGTCAGAGACCTGTCATGGGGACCATGACCCCTGGAACAATGCAAGGTAGTCCACCGAGACTGTCAATATTGTAACTTAAGTGTCCCCTAAGATGACTGATTTCATTCTACCTAAGCAATCTCTGCAAGTTTGTAAATGAACTAATACAGTATGCATATTATTAGATACCACATACTACATTTCACCTTCCTTATCCTTCACCATCTACCTTACCCTTCATTACCTTTCCCTCTCCATCACCTTCCCAATTATTGTTCACCAACTTCCTTACTCTTCACCACCTTTTCTACTCACTGTTTATACTATTATAAATAAACTACATGATAGAAGCTAACATTTAAGCTCATTGAAAATAATTTGCTAGATGAATCTTGGTGAGAATGCTTGCTTGATACATGCTTGATGGGATTCTGGGAGTTTTTCTACTCCCCAAGCCCAACCCGACTGCAAGATTGTCTTGTGAGGAGTGTGGCATTTGCGAGATTGGAAATTAGCCCGATTTGACATTTCATGAAAAGGTGGGGAAATGGGGCTTTACCCCGACTCACCTATAACCATCCCCGGGCAAAGATTAGTCACCCCTTATTGGTTAAAATTTTAATCTGCCTTTGTAAAAGCACTTCAATGACATTCTGTGGTCAAGTACTGTACTTGATATCCCAATGTACTGTATGTGGAAGAACAGACCTTTCCAATCCTGGTCACGGAGGACAGAGGAAAATGTATTTGTAGATTACCTCTGAATAAATGAATGACCATGTCTGTTAGAAAATAAACTTTAAAATCAGTGCCATGGAGGAATGTGACTAGTGGTGCATCCCAGTGGTGTGTTTTGGGTGCCCCTGTTGTAAACAATGCAGGTCAATGACCTAAATGTTGGGGTAAGCCTTTCAATTTACAGACAGGGCAAATAACAAACTCAGTTACTGTAAAGACTTGCCAGATTTCCAAAAATGTTTCATCACATTGTGGAGCTGGGCAGCATGTGGCAAAAGAAATTTCAATGTAGAAAATTGCAAATGGTAGTTATGAACTTGGGAAATGACAATAGCAATGTTTATTGGACGAACAATGAAAATTTATGCAAATCAAGATGCAAGACTTTTGGGGTCATGATTGGTAGAAACCTGAAACTTTTTTTTTTTTTTTTTTTTTTTTTGAGATATATACAAGAGTTGTTACATTCTTGTACAGCCACTAGTACGCGTAGCGTTTCGGGCAAGTCCTTAATCCTATGGTCCCTGGAATACGATCCCCTGCCGCGAAGAATCGTTTTTTCATCCAAGTACACATTTTACTGTTGCGTTAAACAGAGGCTACAGTTAAGGAATTGCGCCCAGTAAGTCCTCCCCGGCCAGGATACGAACCCATGACATAGCGCTCGCGGAACGCCAGGCGAGTGTCTTACCACTACACCACGGAGACTGCCAACTTGGGTAAACTTGGGTAGCAATATTTCACAAGAGTAACTAAGAAAATAGAATGCTAGTGTTTATAATTAGAAAGATCAACAATAAATGCCATCTACTTTTGGTCACCATAATAAATATAAAGTGAATTCCCTCTAGAAAACCCAGGGCTGGTGTAAGGAGTACAGGGCTGGTGTAAGGAGCACAGGGCTGGTGTAAGGAGCACAGGGCTGGTGTAAGGAGCACAGGGCTGGTGTAAGGAGGACAGGGCTGGTGTAAGGAGCACAGGGCTGGTGTAAGGAGCACAGGGCTGGTGTAAGGAGCACAGGGCTGGTGTAAGGAGCACAGGGCTGGTGTAAGGAGCACAAGGCTGGTGTAAGGAGCACAGGGCTGGTGTAAGGAGCACAGGGCTGACGTAAGGAGCACAGGGCTGACGTAAGGAGCACAGGGCTGATGTAAGGAGCACAGGGCTGGTGTAAGGAGCACAGGGCTGGTGTAAGGAGCACAGGGCTGGTGTAAGGAGCACAGGGCTGGTGTAAGGAGCACAGGGCTGGTGTAAGGAGCACAGGGCTGGTGTAAGGAGCACAGGGCTGACGTAAGGAGCACAGGGCTGGTGTAAGGAGCACAGGGCTGGTGTAAGGAGCACAGGGCTGGTGTAAGGAGCACAGGGCTGACGTAAGGAGCACAGGGCTGACGTAAGGAGCACAGGGCTGACGTAAGGAGCACAGGGCTGGTGTAAGGAGCACAGGGCTGGTGTAAGGAGCACAGGGCTGGTGTAAGGAGCACAGGGCTGGTGTAAGGAGCACAGGGCTGGTGTAAGGAGCACAGGGCTGGTGTAAGGAGCACAGGGCTGGTGTAAGGAGCACAGGGCTGGTGTAAGGAGCACAGGGCTAAGGAGCACAGGGCTGACGTAAGGAGCACAGGGCTGGTGTAAGGAGCACAGGGCTGGCGTAAGGAGCACAGGGCTGGTGTAAGGAGCACAGGGCTGACGTAAGGAGCACAGGGCTGGTGTAAGGAGCACAGGGCTGGTGTAAGGAGCACAGGGCTGGTGTAAGGAGCACAGGGCTGGTGTAAGGAGCACAGGGCTGGTGTAAGGAGCACAGGGCTGGTGTAAGGAGCACAGGGCTGGTGTAAGGAGCACAGGGCTGGTGTAAGGACAGGGCAAGGAGCAGGGCTGGTGTAAGGAGCACAGGGCTGGTGTAAGGAGCACAGGGCTGGTGTAAGGAGCACAGGGCTGGTGTAAGGAGCACAGGGCTGACGTAAGGAGCACAGGGCTGACGTAAGGAGCACAGGGCTGGTGTAAGGAGCTGGTGTAAGGAGCACAGGGCTGGTGTAAGGAGCACAGGGCTGGTGTAAGGAGCACAGGGCTGGTGTAAGGAGCACAGGGCTGGTGTAAGGAGTACAGGGCTGGTGTAAGGAGCACAGGGCTGGTGTAAGGAGCACAGGGCTGGTGTAAGGAGCACAGAGCTGGTGTAAGGAGCACAGGGCTGACGGAAGGAGCACAGGGCTGGTGTAAGGAGCACAGGGCTGGTGTAAGGAGCACAGGGAGCACAGGGCTGGTGTAAGGAGCACAGGGCTGGTGTAAGGAGCACAGGGCTGGTGTAAGGAGCACAGGGCTGGTGTAAGGAGCACAGGGCTGGTGTAAGGAGCACAGGGCTGGTGTAAGGAGCACAGGGCTGGTGTAAGGGCTGAGTAAGGAGCACAGGGCTGGTAAGGAGCACAGGGCTGGTGTAAGGAGCACAGGGCTGGTGTAAGGAGCACAGGGCTGGTGTAAGGAGCACAGGGCTGGTGTAAGGAGCACAGGGCTGGTGTAAGGAGCACAGGGCTGGTGTAAGGAGCACAGGGCTGGTGTAAGGAGCACAGGGCTGGTGTAAGGAGCACAGGGCTGGTGTAAGGAGCACAGGGCTGGTGTAAGGAGCACAGGGCTGGTGTAAGGAGCACAGGGCTGGCGTAAGGAGCACAGGGCTGGTGTAAGGAGCACAGGGCTGGTGTAAGGAGCACAGGGCTGGCGTAAGGAGCACAGGGCTGTAAGGAGCACAGGGCTGGTGTAAGGAGCACAGGGCTGACGTAAGGAGCACAGGGCTGGTGTAAGGAGCACAGGGCTGGTGTAAGCACAGGGCTGATGTAAGGAGCACAGGGTTGGTGTAAGGAGCACAGGGCTGGTGTAAGGAGCACAGGGCTGACGTAAGGAGCACAGGGCTGACGTAAGGAGCACAGGGCTGGCGTAAGGAGCACAGGGCTGACGTAAGGAGCACAGGGCTGACGTAAGGAGCACAGGGCTGGTGTAAGGAGCACAGGGCTGACGTAAGGAGCACAGGGCTGGTGTAAGGAGCACAGGGCTGGTGTAAGCACAGGGTTGGTGTAAGGAGCACAGGGCTGGTGTAAGGACAGGGCTGGTGTAAGGAGCACAGGGCTGGTGTAAGGAGCACAGGGCTGGTGTAAGGAGCACAGGGCTGGTGTAAGGAGCACAGGGCTGGTGTAAGGAGCACAGGGCTGGTGTAAGGAGCACAGGGCTGGTGTAAGGAGCACAGGGCTGGTGTAAGGAGCACAGGGCTGGTGTAAGGAGCACAGGGCTGACGTAAGGAGCACAGGGCTGGTGTAAGGAGCACAGGGCTGGTGTAAGGGGCTGATGTAAGGAGCACAGGGCTGGTGTAAGGAGCACAGGGCTGTTGTAAGGAGCACAGGGCTGACGTAAGGAGCACAGGGCTGACGTAAGGAGCACAGGGCTGGCGTAAGGAGCACAGGGCTGACGTAAGGAGCACAGGGCTGACGTAAGGAGCACAGGGCTGGTTGGTGTAAGGAGCACAGGGCTGGTGTAAGCACAGGGTTGGTGTAAGGAGCACAGGGCTGGTGTAAGTACAGGGCTGGTGTAAGGAGCACAGGGCTGGTGTAAGTACAGGGCTGGTGTAAGGAGCACAGGACTGGTGTAAGGAGCACAGGGCTGGTGTAAGGAGCACAGGGCTGGTGTAAGGAGCACAGGGCTGGTGTAAGGAGCACAGGGCTGGTGTAAGGAGCACAGGGCTGGTGTAAGGAGTACAGGGCTGGTGTAAGGAGCACAGGGCTGGTGTAAGTACAGGGCTGGTGTAAGGAGCACAGGGCTGGTGTAAGGAGCACAGGGCTGGTGTAAGGAGCACAGGACTGGTGTAAGGAGCACAGGGCTGGTGTAAGGAGCACAGGGCTGGCTCCATGTACTGTATTAAAATATTAATATAAGGATTTGTTTTTAATTCAGTAAAATGTCATTCAACCTTACCAACAGTGTTATAAAATAATAGATTTATCTGTGGATGATGGTGGGAGTAGAACTTGGTAGAAGTAGTAGTAGAGTTCTTCTACTTGGGAGTAGAAGAAGTAGTAGAGTTCTTCTACTTGGGGAGTAGAAGTAGTAGAGTTCTTCTACTTGAGGAGGAGTAGTAGTAGAGTTCTACTTGAGGAGTAAAAGACTGAAATAGTATAGTGTCCGGGAGTGTGAGTAGTGTGACGTGTGAGCAATGTGAGCTGGTGCTCACTAACATTACCCACCTTCACACTACATGAGCACACACACACACACTTGTCTCTCCCTCAACACGAGAGTAGTGGGAGTGAGGGCCCGAGGCGGGGGCCCGTGTGCTCCCACCAGCTCACCGGGGACCCCAGGGGCCACCTGGCCATACCTGGCCCCGAGTGTGTGAGTGTGCTGGCTTATGGGGGCGTCCGGCTGGTCCTTAGTGACCACTATGGTCGTCTTCACTGAGCGTCAGGCTGGTGCTCAGCAGACAGGGGCTGAGCAGGCTGGGGCTGAGCAGCAGGCTGGGGCAGCGTCAGCAGGCAGAGGAGCACCAGCACAGTGCACCTGCATCCATCACTCGCCCATCCGGCTGGTGAGTCAGTAATTACATAGGGTGTCCCGCCTCTCTCTCACCCTCTACACAACACACAGCACAAGGTGCAGGTCCTCAGGTGGTGGGAGTGTGTAGAGCCACAGGGGTACACCAGCACACAGCTCCACACCCTCACAGCACACCTCACAGCCTCCTCACAGCGGCCTCTGCGCCACACTGGCCGCTCCTCCCCCCGCAGCCTGCACCTCTCCACACACCACTACCACAGCTCTCAACCTCTCACTAATTTAACAAACTTTCCATATTTAACTATCTTTAACTTGCCACCAACACCGGTATCCAGAGTGATACAATTCCTAACCGATCAGTATATATAATTATTGCTTGTTCAAGTAGAAGCTCTATATATATATTCATTATAAGAGCCCATTATATATATATGGCAAGACTCGTATGACCTTCATAAAACGTTAATCTTAAGTGATGAGTATTATACCCGCCGCTTGGGGCGGGGCCACTGCTTCACCGCCCTTCTAACTTTATGACAAATTTCAGGCAAATATTAAATGCTTAAAATTGTAACCTTTAGTTCACCATAAGTCAGTTACTATAATAGCTTCATGTGGTGGCCCGCGGGCCGCATATGGAAGGGTGACAGGCCGCTGGTGGCCCGCGGGCCGCATATGGAAGGGTGACAGGCCGCTGGTGGCCCGCGGGCCGCATATGGAAGGGTGACAGGCCACTGGTGGCCCGCGGGCCGCATATGGGAGGGTGACAGGCCGCTGGTGGCCCGCGGGCCGCATATGGAAGGGTGACAGGCCACTGGTGGCCCGCGGGCCGCATATGGGAGGGTGACAGGCCACTGGTGGCCCGCGGGCCGCATATGGAAGGGTGACAGGCCACTGGTGGCCCGCGGGCCGCATATGGGAGGGTGACAGGCCACTGGTGGCCCGCGGGCCGCATATGGAAGGGTGACAGGCCACTGGTGGCCCGCGGGCCGCATATGGAAGGGTGACAGGCCACTGGTGGCCCGCGGGCCGCATATGGGAGGGTGACAGGCCACTGGTGGCCCGCGGGCCGCATATGGAAGGGTGACAGGCCACTGGTGGCCCGCGGCCCGCATATGGAAGGGTGACAGGCCACTGGTGGCCCGCGGGCCGCATATGGGAGGGTGACAGGCCACTGGTGGCCCGCGAGCCGCGTATGGAAGGGTGACAGGCCGCTGGTGGCCCGCGGGCCGCATATGGAAGGGTGACAGGCCGCTGGTGGCCCGCGGGCCGCATATGGGAGGGTGACAGGCCACTGGTGGCCCGCGGGCCGCATATGGGAGGGTGACAGGCCACTGGTGGCCCGCGGGCCGCATATGGGAGGGTGACAGGCCACTGGTGGCCCGCGGGCCGTATATGGAAGGGTGACAGGCCACTGGTGGCCCGCGAGCCGCATATGGGAGGGTGACAGGCCACTGGTGGCCCGCGAGCCGCATATGGAAGGGTGACAGGCCGCTGGTGGCCCGCGGGCCGCATATGGAAGGGTGACAGGCCACTGGTGGCCCGCGGGCCGCATATGGGAGGGTGACAGGCCACTGGTGGCCCGCGGGCCGCATATGGGAGGGTGACAGGCCACTGGTGGCCCGCGGGCCGCATATGGAAGGGTGACAGGCCACTGGTGGCCCGCGGGCCGCATATGGAAGGGTGACAGGCCACTGGTGGCCCGCGGGCCGCATATGGGAGGGTGACAGGCCACTGGTGGCCCGCGGGCCGCATCTGGAAGGGTGACAGGCCACTGGTGGCCCGCGGCCCGCATATGGAAGGGTGACAGGCCACTGGTGGCCCGCGGGCCGCATATGGGAGGGTGACAGGCCACTGGTGGCCCGCGAGCCGCGTATGGAAGGGTGACAGGCCGCTGGTGGCCCGCGGGCCGCATATGGAAGGGTGACAGGCCGCTGGTGGCCCGCGGGCCGCATATGGGAGGGTGACAGGCCACTGTTGGCCCGCGGGCCGCATATGGGAGGGTGACAGGCCACTGGTGGCCCGCGGGCCGCATATGGGAGGGTGACAGGCCACTGGTGGCCCGCGGGCCGTATATGGAAGGGTGACAGGCCACTGGTGGCCCGCGAGCCGCGTATGGGAGGGTGACAGGCCACTGGTGGCCCGCGAGCCGCATATGGAAGGGTGACAGGCCGCTGGTGGCCCGCGGGCCGTATATGGAAGGGTGACAGGCCACTGGTGGCCCGCGAGCCGCATATGGGAGGGTGACAGGCCACTGGTGGCCCGCGAGCCGCATATGGAAGGGTGACAGGCCGCTGGTGGCCCGCGGGCCGCATATGGAAGGGTGACAGGCCGCGGCTGGTGGTGGCCCGCGAGCCGCATATGGAAGGGTGACAGGCCGCTGGTGGCCCGCGGGCCGCATATGGGAGGGTGACAGGCCGCTGGTGGCCCGCGGGCCGCATATGGGAGGGTGACAGGCCACTGGTGGCCCGCGGGCCGCATATGGGAGGGTGACAGGCCACTGGTGGCCCGCGGGCCGCATATGGGAGGGTGACAGGCCACTGGTGGCCCGCGGGCCGCATATGGGAGGGTGACAGGCCACTAGTGGCCGGGCCAGACACTTGGGGCTAGCCTCACCAAACTTTGCAGGGTGACTGTTCGGCGATGATCACTGGCGGGTCAGGACCGACTGAAGGGCGAGGTGATGCGGGGAGGTCGGCGGGGAAGAGGGAGATAAATAGGGGGGGAGGTACACGAGGCACGGGGAGTGTTGTGTCAACACAACTGTAGGTACACGGGCCACGGGGAGTGTTGTGTCAACACAACTGTAGGTACACGAGCCACGGGGAGTGTTGTGTCAACACAACTGTAGGTACACGAGCCACGGGGAGTGTTGTGTCAACACAACTGTAGGTACACGAGCCCCGGGGAGTGTTGTGTCAACACTACTGTAGGTACACGAGCCACGGGGAGTGTTGTGTCAACACAACTGTAGGTACACGGGCCCCGGGGAGTGTTGTGTCAACACAACTGTAGGTACACGAGCCACGGGGAGTGTTGTGTCAACACAACTGTAGGTACACGAGCCACGGGGAGTGTTGTGTCAACACAACTGTAGGTACACGAGCCACGGGGAGTGTTGTGTCAACACAACTGTAGGTACACGAGCCACGGGGAGTGTTGTGTCAACACAACTGTAGGTACACGAGCCACGGGGAGTGTTGTGTCAACACAACTGTAGGTACACGAGCCACGGGGAGTGTTGTGTCAACACTACTGTAGGTACACGAGCCACGGGGAGTGTTGTGTCAACACAACTGTAGGTACACGGGCCCCGGGGAGTGTTGTGTCAACACAACTGTAGGTACACGAGCCCCGGGGAGTGTTGTGTCAACACAACTGTAGGTACACGAGCCACGGGGAGTGTTGTGTCAACACAACTGTAGGTACACGAGCCACGGGGAGTGTTGTGTCAACACAACTGTAGGTACACGAGCCACGGGGAGTGTTGTGTCAACACAACTGTAGGTACACGGGCCCCGGGGAGTGTTGTGTCAACACTACTGTAGGTACACGAGCCACGGGGAGTGTTGTGTCAACACAACTGTAGGTACACGGGCCCCGGGGAGTGTTGTGTCAACACAACTGTAGGTACACGAGCCACGGGGAGTGTTGTGTCAACACAACTGTAGGTACACGAGCCACGGGGAGTGTTGTGTCAACACAACTGTAGGTACACGAGCCCCGGGGAGTGTTGTGTCAACACTACTATAGGTACACGAGCCACGGGGAGTGTTGTGTCAACACTACTATAGGTACACGAGCCACGGGGAGTGTTGTGTCAACACAACTGTAGGTACACGAGCCCCGGGGAGTGTTGTGTCAACACAACTGTAGGTACACGAGCCACGGGAGTGTTGTGTCAACACAACTGTAGGTACACGGGCCCCGGGGAGTGTTGTGTCAACACTACTATAGGTACACGAGCCACGGGGAGTGTTGTGTCAACACAACTGTAGGTACACGAGCCACGGGGAGTGTTGTGTCAACACAACTGTAGGTACACGAGCCACGGGGAGTGTTGTGTCAACACTACTGTAGGTACACGAGCCACGGGGAGTGTTGTGTCAACACAACTGTAGGTACACGAGCCACGGGGAGTGTTGTGTCAACACAACTGTAGGTACACGAGCCACGGGGAGTGTTGTGTCAACACTACTATAGGTACACGAGCCACGGGGAGTGTTGTGTCAACACTACTATAGGTACACGAGCCACGGGGAGTGTTGTGTCAACACTACTATAGGTACACGAGCCACGGGGAGTGTTGTGTCAACACAACTGTAGGTACACGAGCCACGGGGAGTGTTGTGTCAACACTACTATAGGTACACGAGCCACGGGGAGTGTTGTGTCAACACTACTATAGGTACACGAGCCACGGGGAGTGTTGTGTCAACACTACTATAGGTACACGAGCCACGGGGAGTGTTGTGTCAACACAACTGTAGGTACACGAGCCACGGGGAGTGTTGTGTCAACACAACTGTAGGTACACGAGCCACGGGGAGTGTTGTGTCAACACTACTATAGGTACACGAGCCACGGGGAGTGTTGTGTCAACACAACTGTAGGTACACGAGCCACGGGGAGTGTTGTGTCAACACAACTGTAGGTACACGAGCCACGGGGAGTGTTGTGTCAACACTACTATAGGTACACGAGCCACGGGGAGTGTTGTGTCAACACAACTGTAGGTACACGAGCCACGGGGAGTGTTGTGTCAACACAACTGTAGGTACACGAGCCACGGGGAGTGTTGTGTCAACACTACTATAGGTACACGAGCCCCGGGGAGTGTTGTGTCAACACAACTGTAGGTACACGAGCCACGGGAGTGTTGTGTCAACACTACTATAGGTATACGATGGGGGTCTGGTAGCTGAGTAAACAGCGTGCGGGACTCGTAATCCTGTGGCCCGGGTTCGACTCCCGGCACCGGCAGAAACAAATGGGCAGAGTTTCTTTCACCCTGATGCTACTGTTACCTAGCAGTAAATAGGTACCTGGGAGTTAAACAGCTGTTACGGACTACTTCCTGGGTGTACTTACCTAGTTGTGCTTGCGGGGGTTGAGCTCTGGCTCTTTGGTCCCGCCTCTCAATCGTCAATCAACTTATGTTCAGATTCCTGACCCTACTGGGCTCTATCATATCTACATTTGAAACTGTGTATGGAGTTAGCCTCCACCACAT